AACGAAAACATTTTCGATTGCAAAAAACTGAATAATTTTCACGACCTAGCAACCTAGATACACTGGTAAGGTAATTGACCGCCCTATTGCTACACACAGGACACGATAAACAAGCACGATACTTTTTCTGATATTTCGCGATTTACAAAATTTCCCGAGGTAAAAATTAACGACACGTATTGTTCAACAATAGGATAACTGGGCCCACAACCTGATAAAATCTGTGGAAGTTGTGGATAAAAGTGATGATTTTTAGGAGCAGGAAATGAAAGACGCGTTTTCGATTCGATCAATATCATCGTACTGTCGTATGGTATGTTTATTTTGCACATAGTTGCCAGATATAGAATATTATAACTTAGTGTTATCGTTAATAGATGCGGCTAGTGACATCGAAATAAGTAATTTTGATCTATTTACACAGTATGGTTAAAGGAAAAAGCAGATTTCTTTGCCAAACAATTTTCATACAATTTTACGATAGAGGACAATGGCAGAAGATCACAGGTAATCCCACACCTTGGTTCTTATGTGGACAACGTTGTATTCAGACCTAAAACTATTAGGAAAATTCTTCTGCAACTTGGCACTGAAAAATCTTGTAATGGAAAAGGCAGTCAGCCGAAAATTAGTTAAATACCTCAAATCCGAAGCCGTAAGAGTATAACGTACCTACTTATTTTGGCAATTGCCTAATTATACTGCATACGGCTAGTCAGCATCAGTCCGGAGGCCATGGGTCTATGGGTTCCTTGTATACATCTTACCTTTGGGCGCCACCAAGTTAATTGTGACTTAACTAGGAAGATAACCTAATGATGTTATACACAAAACCTGTGCAATTGGAGAGCTTATCAATAAAACAACTAATTAGGTACAAAAATGTATTTGGCTTCTTTATAAAAAATAATAACAATATATAGGGATAGCCAGGAGGTTATGAAAAAAAATGTATAGATTAATGCTTGTACCAATTTATAAATATTTGATTATAAAAAAATAAGAATGTAAATAATGAATATGTGAATTTAAAATAAACATGACTAAAACTGTTTGGTATTTACACTTGTGAGTGATAATAAAAACACAGCATGGGTTACACTTTACCAACAGGCAAATTAAACACCGGAAAGGTAGAAGTTATTGTTTGGGCAACCTCAGGGTAAAATTCTAGAATTTTATTTAAGGGGCACTTACCGAACGTAAATCAGTATCAAGTGATTTATATAACATTTGCCTAAATAGTAAAAAGTGCAACTTCATGTGTACAAGTGTTGATTATCTTCAAAGGTGTGTGTAAATCCAGAAGTTTTGAAGGGATATTATCTACAGGTTCGGTCTCACTGTAGATAGACTATGGTATGGTAAGTGAGTCATGAGTCCTATCCACGTTGTATCTGTTTAACGTAGAACCCAATGTGGTTCTAGCAGAGTGACGCCAAGAGAGTTGCTGAAGAAAGGCTCAAAGCCCCAACTGAGAGCAATCTAGATCCAGTGTAGAATCTCTCTAAATACAGCCTAGCAACTGTCCAACTATAGCCTAAGACTGTCTAGCTACAGCCTAGCACTAGGACCCTATAACGATGTTCGTATAGAAAACAAATCGAGCCCCAAATATTAGAAATAATCTTACCTCAAATTGAGGGATACTCTAGACCAAAGGTGAAGTCTTAAACTTCCAAAAGCTGCTCGGAACAGTCCTATTGAAGAAACGAAACACGTGTTGTAGGTTAATAATCCTGAAGAAAATCTCAAAAACTTACCGAAACAAAATCCAAAATGACCAAGGGACGACTCCAGACAATTATCAATAAGAAATTAGTCTAAACCTTGAGTTCCCTGGCACAAAATTCCAAAAAGTCTCGCCCAAAATCAAATAGGCCGAGACCAACCTTTCGGTATCAAGTCTCAAGATCAAAAGGGCTGATTCTTCATTTAGATTTTGGAAGAAGGCTTTCATTTGTCAAACTTCTAATTTTGACATTGAAGAAAATTATAGAAAAAAGCGTGTTCAGTTTCACCCCAAGAATACGAACTGGAAGTTTGGTTGTGTAAAAATGACTGGTGAATGTTGAAAAATGCCTATAGAACATATCGGGCCTTCAAAAAAAAAAAACCAATCAAAGATTGCTATGGTTTTTTAAACGTATGTTTTAGCACTATTTTTCTTTAATTTTGTCAATGAACTTCAATGTCAAAATGTCATGTCAAAAATCCTGACCAATAAAGAAACAATAATGCGACGTACGTTTTCGTATTCAAAGCAATCTTTGATTGGTTTTTTTTTTGAAGACCCGATATATCAAAAGGTAGAACAGGTCTAAAGAAAACGCCTAGACAAAACAGTTGTTCAATGACATGATCGAAATGAAAAATCAAAAGAAGTAAACAACAATTTATCATTACCTCAGATTATTTATTAATTGGATTTGCAAACAGAGATGATGAAAAAAATCTCTCCTTTATATAAGATTCTTATCAATAACAGCGGGCCCTCCGTACTGAATCAAACCTTCCTAGATCAATTAACCAAACTTGCAAACCTGAGCTAAAAAACTTTCAGTAGAAGGCAGTACTCAAGGTAATAAAATCTGGGCACAGAAAATATAGTTGTTCATTCATTTATTTCTTTATAGTTCCATATAGCATCATATCTACTAGAGCAAAACACAGTAGCATATTAAACAAGAAATTGAAAATGCTACAAGAGCGCTACCTGATGTGGAAGCAGAAGAAATCCGCATTGAGATGAGACTGCTAACAAACATTCTACGAAAGGTTCGGCCTCCAACCAGTAACCTCTCTAAAAAGGAACTAATGGCAATAAAAGACCTGAATTCAGGGGAAGATATTTTTTGCAAAAAAAATGCCATACCATACCATACCATACCAAGGACAACCATGTTTGAAATTTTTTTTTTTTTTGTTCAACTATGTCTGTGTGATATTCTTATACGTGTCTCGTAGGCCAGGCACCCCCATTACCGTGTATTTACAACGAATATACTCGTACTTGACTTTGAACGACACGATGCAAAATACGAGTCATCTCGTAGCTGGCACCTGTAATAAGATTGTCTACTAGGAGTTAACTCGTACTTGGCAGCAAACGTGTTAAGAACTAAGGACTACAACCGGAAAATTCAGGAACTTCTTAATCCGACTACCTACCGAAAGCTAAAGCAGGATCCCACCCAAGCCATATTCCGGAACACCAAGAAACTGATTAGGTCATCTACTCTAACAAACACGGTTAAAAAAGGCATCATAAAAACAGACGCGATTCAACCACGACTCTACGGCCTACCCAAATTTCTTAAACCTGAAGTCCCGCTAAGACCGTTAGTGAGTGCACCTGGAACACCACTATACAACCCAGCGAAACATCTCGCATCGCATCTTCAACCGCATGTGAGAAAAAATAGCTCTTACGTCAAGGACTCCACTCACGTTGTCCAGACAATTAGGGATATTCTCCAACCTCTAAGGATATCTTGGTCAGTTTTGATGTCGTGTCTCTATTCACTAAAGTGCAATTGACAGAATCTCTTGACCCGATGTCAAGTACCTTCTCCAATTACATCATTGCAATCTCTCGAATATTGGCCGACTTTTTGTTATTCTATCGCTATTACCATGGGAGAAGTTCTGACGATCTGGCCAGCCTCATTCCAGATAGGAGAAATTATTCGAGAACCACAAAAACTTCACGAACATTCCGTATGTGTTAGAGTTGGCTACCCCGAGGACCTCTATAATATAGGGTTTCTTTTTGGTGGCGTACTGTTCACCTCTGGAACTCCCTGCCTTCTATTTCATGTTTCATTGACATGTTTCAACGAAGGGTTAATCGTCACTCAATTTCTTCCGCTCATGGTATTCATGGTACGGCTTAGTAGTAGTATAAACTTTGCTTTTTGTGAGCGGACCAATATAAAAAAAAAAAATATTAAACCGAGTATAAATGATTACTATACCAGGAGGTTAACAGTAACTGATTTGTACTCTAGACCGTGCACTGTAGATTACTTTTTCTTTATAATTTATACAGTAATTACCCTGGCCTTTTCTAAAAAAAATCATGCGTCCATTAAATTATCTAGATTTCATATCGGATGATAAAATTACCACGAGATTTTTTGTTTATTGTATCTTAACTAAAAACAGCTCAAGAAATATTCACCGCATGTTTTATATCGATTTTCCCCCAGGCAATTTTCACGGACATCTAAATGTAGTAGAGTAATCAACTAGAGAACCGAGTTGGAAATGTCAAACATTAAAGGCCGAGAGCGACAGGGAGGCTCGGAAATGACACCCTCTCTCTGATATTTTCACACTTTAATGGCTTTCGGCAATGTTCAGGTGAAGAATTTATGCTTTAAAAAATGATCTTTTTTATTTCACTATCTTGTAACATTTATAGGGAACAATTCTGAATTTGGAAAAATATGAAATTATAGGAAAATTGTTCAAAGAGCAAGTATCTTAGTATTCAACAACTTCTACAGACAATATTTAGGTAATTGCTTATAATATTAGTTGCATTGAATATTTAAGGTTTCGTAATTTCACTGAAATTAATTATTCATAATTGAGTTTATAAAAACTACGTGGCGCCTGCTGGACTTTGTAAATTCTCATTATATAAGCGTATGAACATAAGGCCTTTATAGAAGAACTTATAGCCTCCGCAATTTAGAATTTAGCTAGCAAAAAATCTCTATGAGATCGACCACTATGTAAGCAGCTGTTTGCCCGTCGCGGCCCTAAAATTTGTGAAGTAACAAAATTAGAATCAATTTTTCAAATCTCTGATAGAAATCATCAAGTGATCGAATTGTCCAATTACAGTACCAGTAAACATATTGACAGATATGTCAGTACAAATTCATTCAAATTCACAGTATCTAAATAAACAAAGGGTAGTCCTTCTGAAATGGTTACTAATTAGTCTATACCTATGATGATCTTGTAAAATTCCATTACACTCATTGCAGGACTTTCCTAGATCAAGCTCCACTACTTAAAAGTGAAAGTAAGGATGCATTTCCTAAAATTCCATCAATAATAGAAGGACTTACTAAATACTAAATAGAAAACCAGACATCAGAACCTTGCCTTTCGCTGAGAAAAAACTTGAGAGATTTCTTATTTATGAAGTAATTTTCAAAGTAGGTAACACAGTTTTTTATCTCAATAAATCTCTAATTTATTTTAGTACTTAAAAAAATGTTTGGGCGCAATTCCTCTTCGTACACGCAAGTGCAAATGGTTGGACCTAACTTCAAAGTCGGCAGAAATATCGGTCATGGCAATTTTGGTAAAATAAGAATCGGAAAGAACCTTCACAATAACGAGCCCGTCGGCATCAAGCTGGAACCGTTAAAAAGCAAAAGCACACAATTGCAGTCGGAGTTTAGGTTTTATATAATCCTTGGCCAAGCAAAAGGTAATAATAATCCTATTAACTAACGTTACACGAATAGAGGTAATAATAACTTGAAAACCAACAAAGCGATGCGGTTTCAAGAGTGAAGAGTTTTCAATTTATGATTTATTTTTTTTTACTTATTTTCCGACATTTTCAAATTTACGGAGTTTTCTATTAGAGAACGTGCCTGTTTTTCAGGCTTAGGGCCCTACTTACCAACTTTAATTACTATACATTTGGATGATGGAAAAAGAAATAGATAAATGATCAGGTATTATTATTATCTATAATTTTACAACGGTATCGCTGCTTGTTGTGAGAGAGCATTCCACAGATAGGTACCTACGCATAATATTTTTGTCTCAGAAGCTTGGCTGGCTTCTATTTTTCTAGTTTTTAGTGTTACCACCGGCACCTGGTTGCGACGGTTACGTAAGGGAGACTTTGTTTTAGCACTGTTAAAGGTCTTTTTTCTACTTTGTTTAAAGTCCCACTGAAAATCTAGATAACTTTGAACGGATACTTTTAAGTAATCTGATTAGATCACCTCTTCCAGTGCGGGTTCTTGCTACCTGAGCTGTACACAGTTAGTTGAAATGCTAGCTCGGGGTTTTCCGAAGGAAATAAAAGAATCAGTTTTTCTTACTAAACTCTAACAATGGTTTATTGAACAAATGGTAAATCTTGGTAAGGAAATGAAAAAAAAGCACAGAATATACAGTAGGTTATTAACAATGTTTACTGAAATGAAATGAAAGAAAATACATACGGAATGATAGGAAGTGAAATCAATGAGCGTCCTGTATAGGGCGTTCCTTGATGGTACAAATTACATGAGAAATTAAAGATTAAAAGATACAGAAAATAAAGACTAGATTATAATTCTTAGTGGGTAAAAGTCACGGGCGTCCTCGACACGGGAATGACAAAACGGTCTTGTTATTCAGGGTGAGATTCATGTTGAAAAAGAGATTTGAGTTGTGAAGCTAACCCAACGGTTTTGTTCTTTACACTGGGGAGAAAATAAATAATAAACAGAAAACAACAATCATGCGACGAATAAATTAAAATACTTAAAATTGAAACATTACCTAAGGTCTCGGAAAGAGAGTCAGCAGAAAGACGTCAACACTAAACACCAGAACTTCGTTACAGAACTAATGAATCTAGGAGGCTCACAGGCCTATTTATATTGGCAGCTTGATGACGCTTTTGGGATTCTTATCGGTCGCAAAACATGCGATTTGTTCATGGAACCAGGAGTCGAGGGTCGTGTTTTAAGACACAGTCTTCACACTCTTTCGGAAACCGACTGATAACCCTTGGCTCTTGACACGGTTTCGTCAGAAATTTAGCCACTTAATCTCGCTGGGTAGAAAAGCCAATTAATTGTATTACGAAGCAAAAAATAGTATATTGTTTCATTAGGAGTAAAAGTGATACTTTTTGAGGTGAGACTAAATGTTTGACAATTTTAGACGAGCCACAAAAAGTGCTTTTCTCCGAATAAAACATACGATTTTTTCCGCAAACGGTGTTCAAAGCGATGGAATCTAGAAAATTTCTGTCACGTCACTTTTTTGTCCGGCTGTGAGCGTACAAATAAATACTTTTTTGTACGCTCACGGAACGCGCGGACAAAAAAGTAACCAAAAAAATGACGTCTGTGACGTCAAACTTCAACATTAATAATTGAGGTTAAAAAAGTCGTCATTTTTTGACGTTTGCGGAAAAAAAGATTTTTAGGCCGTTTTGAAACATTGGTAGTTTTAAATGTCTTGTTTAGTCATCCTTTTGGCTATTTTGTTAGTGTCTGTATTCTGGTGTATCTTTTCTTCCTCTGTTTTATGAGTTCTCTTCTGTTCTCCAGTATTTGTTTTGTTTTGTTTATTTCAAATTTTTCTGGCCTACCCTTCGGTGTCTTGATATTTTTTCCTGTTTCTTTTATTCTTTTAATAATTTGATTTATGTCTTCGTGGGGTTTTATGGGGTCTTTCTCCAGTTTTTCTGTTAATTTTGTAGCGAATTCTATTTTTTGTGTTTCACTGGTATGTGTGCTTAATTTCTTTTGGGGGCGGTTGAAATTCTTTGCTTTTTCTAGTCTGCCATTTATCGCTATTTTACATCTTACCATTCTATGATCGCTGCCAGTCGTGAATGAGCTTAAGACATCGACATCTTGGAATATATATTTTTAATGTATCAGTAACAAGTCTATTTCGTTTTTTGTCTTTCCATCTGGGCTTGCCCATGTCCATTTTTTGTAAGGTTTCTTTGATATGTGGGTCTCATATTCCAAGGCACTGGTTGATATGATTCGAAGATTAATTTGCTGCTAGACAAGGTGCAAGGAAGTTTTAGTTAATTTGTAGGGAAACTTAGCGGCTTTTGCACCTTATTAAGCAGAGTGTAATTCTTATTCAGTCTCATTTTCTGACCACAATTTCACGGTTGAAAGATCTTCACGTTAGTTTGACTAAAGGATAAAAGTTCACAGAACAACCACAAAATTTAAAAATACATAATCATGTGTTAGTTGAAGATAAATTTAAATTAAACATATATTTGATGTTATCGCTATCCGAATAGCAGCCTATTACTTTGGACGTAGAAGGTGTCATTCGCCCCTGGATTTTAGAGGGCGCGCCAATTAAAATGAAGTAAATTCATAGAATAATGCCCTAAAATGTGATGATCTGTAGGAGAGATAAACGCGTAATATAAATGGTTCAAATAATGGAAGTTAAATACCGTGAGATAAGAAATTCACAGATAGTATAAATGCAGCATTTCACACGACGCGGATGACGGATCAAGTTTTCTCTCTCGCACTCACGGTGAGAAACCCATGTCGCAAAATCATCGAACTTATTGTACTTAAATCATTGGTGCAAAACACACACACTTGGTAATTAATGAATACTTGAACATTTAGATAAAATAAATAAAATTAAATACTTAAAAATGAAATTAAAAATAAACTATCACCTCTTTGAGAACCTTCACTAAACACTGGGCGGCAGATGAACTAGAGGATGAGAAAAACGGGTCGAAAACTAGTTGATATTTTGCGATTTAAATTTCCAGTGACAACCGGCCTCAACAATCGCTTTAATAAGCAAAAGGAACCACCCTCTGGGTACCGCTTTAGAAGCCCATTGGCTATCTATTAGTACCAGGGTTGAGAGTCGAGAAAGTTGAAGATCTCCAACTCTCTCAACTTTCAGCGATTCGCAGTATTTCTTGCTATTTTTGCATTGGTTCTCAAGTTATATCAACCTATCCAGTCCACACTGCTTCACCCTGTGATCCAGTTTGATGAATCTCAATAGAGTTGGCTAGTTCCATGATGTAAAATGATGTAATTGAACATTTAACGTTTTCCCCTTTAATTGAAAATCTTTCCGTTTTTTCTAAGTATGCCTTCTATTCTAATTCCCTAATGTTTAACCTAATTATCCAGGGTGAGAAATGAAAAAGTTATCCTCTACTAATTTGTTCATGGCATTGAGTAATTCAATCCTATCTTAACCTACTTATATTTTAATTATTATAACTAAACATTTAACTATCTTACAGTATATTTCACCTAAGTAATAACCCTTAATAATTTTATTGTTTAACAATTTATGTTATTGACTATTGTACCTAAAAATTTAGCTCATGTAATTATTTTGTTTTTGTGCAACCGTCCGCGAAATGAGCTTTCGCGGCCGCCACACCTGACGTGCAAAATGTGTCAGAACCATACAGTTTTTCTGTAACTTTACATAATTTTTATAGTTGCACAAAAACTAGTGTGTATACCATGACCGCGAAACTTTTTAGCGTCATCGAGATTATCTTGCCTCGGCCGCAAGCGGCCTCGGCGATAACTTTTCTCTACGTACGCTAAAAAGGCATTTCACGGCTTTGGTATATAAATAACTATTTGTTTCAAACACACATGCTTCGAATATAATTCTTTTCAGCAACGATATCAGTTACCTTACATTTGGGTTTGTCATAAAACGTGGGTCTTCAGAAGATTATCCTTGACGTCAAATAAGTTATTACAACCACATGTGATACGGTACAACTACAGATTAGTTTAAAGTTAAGTGTTTATCTAGGAAAACATAAAAATTTGCCTTTATATTTGTCAATTTCGGGCTACAGCCAAATAATCTTGAAACTGTAAAATTCGATACCTTTTTGGCTTTTAAGTGATTTCATCCTCGACTAGGGTACTTATTCTTGAAACAGGGGAGCAGCGTTCCCAGGAGAACGAGTGTTCCGTCTTTGTTCCCTATATTATCATTTTCATATCATTGAGAAAGACGAAACACTCGTTCTCCTGGGAACGCTGCTTCCCCGTTTCAAGAATAAGGACATAGATTAGGTCGTTCCCAGGAACTCCATGTGTTTGTAAATCCTATTAGGGTCACATTTTAACTATCTATGGAAAATCTGTCAATTCCCACGAAAGATGAACTTGAACCGAGATTTTGTATTTAGGTACTATTGATTTTGTTAGTGGTTGGTGGATGTGCTAAATAATCTTGCCTCATGGAGTGCGGAGATTCGACAAGAAAGTATTTCCACAAAAGCAGACTTGGAGTCTTTTTGATATATTATATATCTGGAAACGGCGAAGCACATTTCACATTTCATTATATAGAATCCAATAATTCGAACGTAAAACTTTCCGGGCAACGTTGCTAACAATTATATTGGTGCAAAAAGGAAAAATTTCATGCTCTCTGCATATTCTTTCCGAGATAGAAATTCAATCAACCAATTTGGTGAAGCATAAAATCAGTGTACTTGATGGCACTATTCGAAGCCTGTCTTTAGGAGTCAGCCACGTAAGCTGGGATAAGAACTTCATTTCCGTGGGCTGGTGGTCTACCAGTTCTACCACACACTAGATCTACGGGAAGCTTCATTTCTATTCCAGTCAATAGAATCGATGGTGTATTATAGCCGGTTGATTCGTACCGAGAGCTTTTTCAACCCGGAAGAAAGAGGCGCACACA